TTTTTTTTTTTTTTGGTTAGAGATGGGGTCTCACTATATTGCTCAGGCTGGTCTTGAGATGGGGTCTCACTATATTGCTCAGGCTGGTCTTGAACTCCTGGGCTCAAGGGATCCTCCAACCTCAGCCTCCCAAGTAATGGGATTACAGATGTGAGCCACCTTGCCCGGCTATTATAGGCTTCTTGTAGACAACATATAGTTTGTTGTTCTTCTTTTTTTAACCACTCTGACAGCCTCTATTTTTTACTTGGTATATTCAGACCATTATATTTAAAGAGATTATTGTTATGATTGGATCAATGTATAACATATTTGTTACTATTATTTTCATTGTCTTTATTTTTTGTTTCTTTAAAAAATTTTCACTCTTTTTCTGTCTTCTCTGGCTTTTTTTTCTTTTTAAAAGTGATAGAGCCTTGCCCTGTTACCTAGGCAGTGATGTAATCAAAGCTCACTATAGCCTAGAACTCTTGGGCTCAAGCAGTCCTCCCACCTCCTCCCTGCCGAGTAGCTTGGACTACAGACTTGCGCCACTATGGCTGGCTAATTTTTATGTTTTTTGCAGAGATGGAGTCTCACTATGTTGCCCACGCTGGTGTCAAACTCCTGGCCTCAAGTGATCTTCCCACCTCAGCCTTCCAAAGTGCTGCACTTACCAGGTGTGAGCCACAGCACCTGTCCCTTCTGTAACTTTGATTGAGCATTTTATATGATTGCATATTATTTTTTATATTTGGAGACAGAGTCTCTCTCAGTTGCCCAGACTGCAGTGCAGTGACACCATCTTGGCCAACTGCAACCTCTGCCTCCTGGGTTCAATCAATTCTTGTGCCTCAACCTTCCTAGTAGCTAGGACTACAGGCGTGAGCCACCACAACCAGCTAATTTTTGTATGATTGCATTTTTCTCCTGTCTTAACATATCAGTTGATCAATTGTACTTCTTCGTCTTTTTTTTTCTTTACTGGTTGCCTTAGAGTTTGCAGTAAATATTTATAACTAACTTTACTTTCAAGTAACCCTGTGCCACTTCTTGAATAGTACAAATTCCTTATGACAGAATTCCCAAGCCCTCTCTCATCCTTTATAATATTTCTGTCATTAATTTCAGTTATCCATAAACTACAATTACTACAAACACTATTGCAATTATGATGTTGAACACAAAGTGTCATCTGTCTAATAAATTAATAAGAAAATATTTTCTATCCATTTACTCCTTCTTTAATACTCTTTTTTTTTTTATGTAGATGGCAGTTTCTCACCTTATCATCTTTTCTCCTTTCTGAAGAACTTTTTTAACATTTCTTGCGAGGCATATATGCTAGCAATAAATTCCATCAATTCTTGTTGGTCTAAGAAAATATTTTTCTTTCTCTTTTGAAGGTTAATCTTGCTGAATCCAGAATTCTAGGTTGGTGGGGTTTTTTTTTTTTTTTAACACTTTAAATATTAGATTCATTTTATTCTCTTCCTGTTTGCATGGCTTCTGAAAAGTATTCCAGGTAATTCTTATCCTTCCTTCTTTATAGGTAAGGTTTTTGTTTTTTTGTTTGTTTGATTTTTGTTTTATTATTATTATTATTTGAGACTGAGTCTCGCTCTGTCACACAGGCTGGAGTATAGTGGCGAGGTCTTGGCTCGCTGCAATCTCGGCCTTCTGAGTTCAAGCAATTCTCATGCCTCAGCCTCCTGAATAGCTGGGATTACAGGTGCCCACCACCATGCCTGGCTAATTTTTGTATTTTTAGTAGAGACAGGGTTTCACCATGTTAGCCAGGCTGGTCTTAAACTCCTGACCCTCATGTGATCTGCCTGCCTCGGCCTCCCAAGGCATACATTCCCTGTATGCTGGGAATACAGGCATGAACCACCGCGCCCAGCCTGATTTTGCGGTTTTGTTTGTTTGTTTACTTTGGCTTATTTTAAGATTTTTCTCTTTGTCTTTGATTTTCTGCAGTATGAATATGATATTCTTCAGTGTATTTTGTGGTGGTATTTATCCTGCTTGGTGTTCTGTGAGCTTCCTAGATCTGTGGTTTGGTGCCTGTCATTAATTCAGGAAATTTTTCAGTCATTATTGACTGAAATATTTCTTCTTTTCCTTTCTTTCCTTTTTTGTGTTCCTGTTGTATGTATGTATTTATTACACCATTTGTAATTGTACTGTAGTTCTCGTATAATTTTTCTGTCTTCAGTTTTTTTCCTTATTGCATTTCTTTTTTGGAAATTCTTATTCACAATTCTTAAAGTTTACTAATGCATTCCTCAGCTACGTCCAATCTACTGATGAGCCTTTCAAAGGCATTCTTCATGTCTGTTAATAGTTTTTTTATTTTGAGCATTTTCTTTTCATCTTTTTCATAGAGTTTCCATCTCTCCACTTATATTGCTCTGCTGTTCTTGCATATAGTCTGTTTTCTCTATTAGAGACCTTAGCATAGTAACCATAATTATTTTATTTATTTATTTATTTATTTATTTATTTAGAGACAGAGTCGTACTCTGTCACCCAGGCTCAAGTGCAGTGGCGTGATCTCGGCTCACTGCAACCTCTGCCTCCTGGGTTCAAGCGATTCTCCTGCCTCAGCCTCCCAAGTAGCTGAGATTACATGCATGCACCACCACCCCTGGCGAATTTTTTTTGCATTGTTAGTAGAGGTGGGGTTTCACTATGATGGTCAGGCTGGTCTCGAACACCTTGGTCTGGTGATCCTCCCACCTTGGCCTCCTAAAGTGCTTGGGATTACAGGCGTGAGCCACCGTGCCTGGCCTTAATTATAATTATTTTAAATTCCTGCTCTGATAATTTTAACATCTCTGCTTTATCTGAGACTGTTTCTGATGCTTGTTAAATCCTTTCAAACTGTGTTTCAGTCTTTTAGCATGTCTTGTAATTGTTTGATGAATGCTGGACATGACATATTTGGTAAAAGGAACTGAGATAAGTAGGCATTTAGCATGAGCTTTTATGGTTATCTGGCTAGAAGCTAGGCTGTGTTTGCTGTCACTATACATGTCAGAGGCTGAAATTTCCTTCCATGTCCTGGTCTTGTCTCTTCTGTTGTCTCTTCATTACCCTAGTGAATTCTTCCTAAATATAGTCTGAGATATGCAGTTCTTTCTGTTGAATTTCTCTGTTAGTGTACAGGAGCCCTAGTGATGTGGTCGTTAGATGTGGGAGTAGAGGGAAGCGTTCGATAGGCCTATGACTAGATCTGAGTCTTTTAATAAGCCTTTGCCTTGGGCTGTGACATTCACAAGTGCTTCTCAGTCTCCCCTGCCCTTTAAGGTAGACGGGAAGGCTAGAGGAAGCCGGAGGCCCCTTCTCCCACACTGAATGCAAGAGGGGGCTGGAGCTGGATTTCTTTATTTAGGCCAGTTAGGTGACGGCAGCCCCCCAGTCAGTTCGGCTCTGGTAAAGTCGTTTCCCTCGAGTCAGGCCTGTGACAAGGAACACAACGTGCTGAGCATATTTCAAACTGGCTGCTTTTCTTCTTTCTTTAGGTTGCATAAGGGGATTTTTCTCTAGTTTTTACTGTGAAAATCTGGCACTGTCCTGGAGATAAAACTGGGGAAGCAGGGCAGTCCTCCTATGACTGGGTCTTCCTGGAATTTATTTATTTATTTATTTTGAGACAGAGTCCCGCTCTGTCACCCAGGCTGGAGGGCAGTGGCGTGATCTCGGCTCGCTGAAACCTCGACCTCCCAGGATCAAGCCATTCTCCTGCCTCAGCCTCCAAGTGGCTGGGACTCCAGGCGCCGCCACCACACCCGGCCAATTTTTGTATTTTTAGTAGAGATGGGGTTTCACCATATTGGCCAGGCTGGTCTTGAACCCCTGACCTTGTAATCCGCCCACCTTGGCCTCCGAAAGTGCTGGGATTACAGCCCTAAGCCACTGCGCCCAGCCCGGAATTTTTAACTCTCAAACTTGTTGACACTGAGCTTCCAGCAAGTCATCAATTACAGTTTAGACTTTCTACCTCCTCCAGAGGTTTCTGATTTCCTCCTGTAAATTCTGTGTCTCAGCGACCACTTGTCTCGTCAATTTTGGGGCAGCAGTTTTCCCTGTGACTCAATTATCTGATGAATCTAAGAAGAGATGTTGATTTCCAGTTTGTTCAACGTTTTTCCTGTTGTGAAGATGGGAGTGAGCTGTTCCAAGCTCATTACATTCCAGACTGAAAAATGAAAGTCCACAATATTTTTTTAATTTCAGCTTTTATTATAGCTTTGGGTTTAAAAATAATAATAATTGAGGGGAATTTTCACATGTTGTACAATAGCTTGTGATTACACTAGTAATGAATATTAGGTTAAGTATTATATGATTGATATATTGATGTTATTGAATTGTTTTTCCAGCGACTGAGGTCCACTCAATAGCTATTCTAATTATTGTTGACCTGTAATTTCTTATGTTACATCCTGTAATTTTAATTGTTATTGATTTGTTAATTCTTTACATTACATCCTGTGAGGCCAAGGAAATACTCTTTCAGAATTCTCCATGAAATGTTTTACTATAATTCTCTCCTATCTGGCTACCATTTCATAGGTAATCATCACACCTGTCTATGCCTTTCTGTCTCAGAGCCTCCCTCTATTTAATCTTCCATCAGTTTTTAACAAGTTGATGGTATTTGATCATTAGTCATAATATGTCTTAACTCATTTTTCAGAGTCTACTTCTTTAAAATCTCTTGGATAACTCTTTTAATTAAGGCTTTTCTTTGAGCCTTGATTTCTTGGAGAAAAGGAAATTGTCAGAAACGACACACTTTTGTGATATGCCACCAGCAGGCCCATTACTATATACCTTAGCCTTCTCTTCGGTATCTAGCTAATGTTTAGGTTGCCTTGTTTGTCTAAATATAATTATATTTCAGGAAAAGGAGAACATAAGTCTTCCATACTTTATATCATGCTGGGTCCTCTAATCAACAAATAAAAACACTGCTTAATAATGCTTAATGTATTTGATGTTGCTTATTATAGGAGGAACTCTCTGGATTGAAAAATAAAATACAAGCAGTTGTGCTTGAAAATGAAAGCCTCCAGCAAGAGCTGAAATCTCAAAGACAGGAGGAGACACTAAGGGAACAAACACTTCTGGATGCATCTGTGAGCATTCTTTTAAATCATACATTTTATTTAGTGTGAATATTCCCTTCTGCCCTCTCTCCCCGCCTTCTTAGCTGCTTAGTTTTTCTCCTTGAAGTGTGGCCAAAGTACTATGTTAGTACCTGTTTGAGACCTCAAATACCAGATTTCACTGTGGTAGAATGAATTCTCAAGTGAAATGATCTCGTAATATTTGCTGTGGTTTCCTGAGCGTACCATTTTTGCCTTACCATATGGAAAGAGCAGGTCTGAAAGCAGGAAATGTGTTATACAGGAAGGACTTTGCTGAGTCTAGAAACCATTCAGAACCTTAGCTTAGATTTCTGCTGGATTTCTCTAAATTGTCCTTGATATCTGAAATCTGAGAAGTCTAATTAGCAGCATGATATAGCAGAAAGAACATTGGCCTTAGGGTCCAAGAATCAAAATGTTAGTCTTCCCATTGTCCCTAAGAAGGCTGGTGCTTAGCAAGTAATTTTAGAAGACTTTACATAGCTTAATCCCATATGTCCTTTATTTCTTTATTGTTATTTTGAGAAGATTAACGTATACCAGGAGTTTTCAATGCAAATTCCTGGACTCCAGGCCCTGTGAGTCTGATTCACTTGGTCTGGTTGGCCCCTGGGAATCTAAACTTTTATCAAGTTGCCTAAGTGATTCTAATGTCAGTGGCCCAGAGTTTGAAGAACGTTGGGTCAGATTATCCCTATAATTCTGTGACAGAGAATTATTGTGGTGACTTTTAAATAGTGCTTAAACCACTTTCTTATGACTTATTAGAGTACTTTTGTCTTAAACTTTTAAAAACTGTTTTTCTGTAAGATATAGTCACAGCTTCTTCTGCTTTTTGAGACAAATGCAACTTTCCATGCGGAAGTTTTCATGCTTGCCTATTCCAGCTTCATTTTGCAGTTTACTTTGGTGGTTTTGACTTTGTCGTCATTAGTAAATCAGCTGTTAAGAAAACATGAAAGTCTTGATGTTTGACTGAGATATCCTCTAATTTTCATTTTTGAAGTCTTTTTTTTTTTTTTAACCTGAATTGATAGCTTGTTTTTAATCCTGGAGTTGTATATGTTAGAGTCTGCTATTGAGAAGTATAGGAGTGTATTAACTCTGATAAATGAAGTGGGCTAATTAGTATTTCAGTTTAATTTTCTGCAGTGTATAGGAGTGTATTAACTCTGATAAATGAAGTGGGCTAATTAGTATTTCAGTTTAATTTTCTGCAGTTGCATTTAAGTTTGTGATCAATTCTCTTCTCCTCACTATATAACTTTTTCCTGAAGATTTATATAATTATTAATGGTAAAAATTCCATCTTAGTTGCTTATTATTTTAATGTCAATTTGAAGAAGATATCACCATATATGAAATACTTAGAAGTAGCTTATTTTAAAAATATTCATTTGCTTTTCTTCCAAATATGTAGTCACTTAGCAAGCAGTGATTCAATTATTCATAGTCTTCAGTATTTATATAACGGCCAAGAAGTGGAAGAGAGGGAAGTGAAGTGAGAAAGGAAATTAGGCAGACGAGTGAATCAGAGGGCAAGAGAAATGAGTAATGCAAAAGGGGAAGGAAATGATGGTAAGAGCACACATGCCTTGCTGCATGAGCAAAGAAAATGTGCTAAACAAAACTACAGTCAGAATCATAGGAAGGATAAGGTTTTAGAGAGGTTTTGTTGTTTTTTTAAACATTCATGTGAGCTAAATGTAATGCAGATATTGAAATGATTACTGCAGATATGCCAGATGACCTTGATATCTATTTTAATGTTAGTCTCCTGTTATTTGTTGTTGTCGAATTGTTACCCCCACATTTTACCTGTGTAAGTGAATTGAAACTTTTCAAGGCCAGATACAGCGTCTTATGCATGCAATTTCAGCAGTTTGGAAGGATGATCATGTGAGTGGATGGATCACTTGAGCCCAAGAGTTCCAGACCAGCCTGGGCAACATAGTGAGATTCCATCTCTCCAAAAAATAAAAAAAATAAAAAAAATTGCCAAGCCTGCTGGTGCACACCTGTGGTCCCAGCTACTTTGGAGACTGAGGTCAAAGGATCCCAGGAGGTCAAGGCTGCAGTGAGCCCTGATCACGCCACTGCACTCCAGCCTTGGCAACAGTGAGTGAGACCTTGCCTCAATAAAAACAAGATGAACAAAAAACAAGACATTTCAGCAACACGTGCATTGTGCTGTGGCAGAAGTTATAACATGAATAAAAGTATTTAGGATATCTTAAATATAAAAAAAGTCAAGAAATACCTTCTTTTGGGGGGATGGGGTTTTTGTAATGAGTCAATTAAAATATTGACGCTAAATCTTCCCTTGCTGTATTGAAATTTGCTGATTTCACCGTAGATTTTCAGTGTTTCATAATGCCTTTTAAAAAAGATAATTGAAACATTTATATGGTTTATTAGTCAGGGTTCTCTCAAAGGACAGAACTAATAGGATAGATATGTATAAAGGGGAGTTTACTAAGTAGTATTAACTCACATAATCACAAAGTCCCACAATAGGCCGTCTGCAAGCTGAGGAGCAAGGGAAGCCAGTCCGAGTCTCAAAGCTGAAGAACCTGGAGTCTGATGTACAAGGACAGGAAGCATCCAGCACGGGAGAAAGATGTAGGCTGGGAGGCTAAGCCAGTCTAGCCTTTTCACGTTTTTCTCCCTGCTTTGTATTTGCTGGCAGCTGATTAGATGGTGCTCACCCAGATTAAGGGTGGGTCTGCCTTCCCCAGCCCACTGACTCAAATGTTAATCTCCTTTGGCAGCACCCTCACAGACATACCCAGGATCTATCCTTTGCATCCTTCAATCCAATTAAGTTGACAGTCAGTATTAACCATCACATACAGTAATAACTAACGTTTATTGATGACTGTGTGGTTATAATGTGCCAGGCACTGCATCAAACACTTTATTTACATTATATTACTTCAGATTTGCGATAGCCACACAAGGCGGGTGTTATTATCTGTTTTCAGAGGCGTAAATTAAGGTACACAACTGTTAAGTAACCTAAGTAATTGGCCTAATGTCACAGAGCAGGGACTCAAACCCAGGACTGTCTAAATCTCTAAATACACCCAGTAGAACCTTAAATTATACGGCTTTTCTGCGTAAATTAGGAAGAGCTCGTCGACAGTGAACCAAACCATCTTTGTTTGCAGAGGATAGAAGTTTTCCCTGGCAGAAAAGAGAAGAACCTCCTTTTTATTGCCTCCTGCTTGTAGCCCTGGACCTGGATGGTAGCCTGCAAGACTTTCAACTTTTGGTCTAGTTTTTGACCTAGAAGTTAAAGAAGCAAGCCATTCAAAGTATATTTCATTGCTGTCCTGATTTTTCATCACTTTCCCTTCTCATAAAATATTTCCTCATGGAAAGCTTTTCTCTAGAGTTCACAAAATCACAATAATACAAAAACAAGTTATTTATTCGACATTTTGTCATGTGTCCTCCTTTAAAGATCTAGGATTTTTTTTTTAAGGAGAAAATTTCTGGGCCAATTTTTTTTCATGTTTGTTTTCATCCCCTCTCTTACCACCACCCCCCACCCCGTCCAGTTAAGAAATCAAAGGTCTTGAATGATCTTCAGGGATTTAACGTACTTAGATTTAAAAAAAAAATCTTGGTTAAGTAGCATTCAAGTTTTTTAAAGCTATGTGTGAAAGAACAAAATATCCATTAGACTAGCACTTCTTTCCAAAGAATGATAATATTTTATATCGTAAGTCAGCAATCTGTGGTCTCCATGCTTCCTCCAGTTTCTCCATAGAACATTAGTACCACCCTCCTTCACTGATCTCAAAAACAACTTTAAATGCAATAATATCTTAGGGGATTTGGCCCTACCTGGAGAATCAAGTGCAGACTCATTCCATGGTGTGGTATACTCTCAAGTCCCTTACTTGATTCTTTAGCTTCATCTTCTGACATTCATCACCTTATATTTTGACCTCTAGTAATGTTGAATTGTCTAAGACCCCCCTGCAGGCACCATGCTATTCCATACCCCTGTGACATTTGTCATGAGGTTCTCTCTTCTTAGAATGCCCTTTCCATCTAGCTTACCCTTACTCATCCTTCAACGTATCACACCAGTGTCAATTTTTTTCTAGAAAACCTTCCTTGGATTTCTGGGTACCCTTAGTATCCCTCCTGTGTTTTGGCAGAGGCCCCTGTGCACACCTTTAGCCTAGCACTCACATTATTATATCGAAAGGACCTGCCTAGCTGTGTGTCTCCCTTATTAAACTGTAAACTCCTTGGAGCTAAGATTGATGTTGCTCATTTTTGTCCTCCAGGGTCTTAGCACAGTGTCTGAACACCGTAGGTGTTACACAAATGTTTGCACTAAACTGAACTTCCAGAAGAATATGAAATAGAATTCAGAGTACTACTTTAGGTGAATGTAGTTTACCACATTCTAGCATGATGTGACACTGCAGTATAGTTCAGTGTTTGGGGACCTGTCCTCTCTTGTGACTACTACCATATCCTTTGGCCCTTAGCAAGTGTTCAATAATTATTTGTTGGATTAAATTAATATAAGTATTTTAATCCTTCTTGTGCACATAAATTCCCCAGATCATTGGGCTGCTTACTACATTGAATGTTGAGAGGGTGACAGAGGTTGCAACTAACAATGGGTACACTAAATTCAACTCAGGCATGTTTGGTTTGTTTGATAAATTTTGAGCCAGTATTTAATAATGTTTCATATGAAGGACCAGGTATCTGGTAATATGAATTTTCACTCCCACATGGCGATGATTGACTGGAATTGAGTAGCGGCTGCTTCCTTGGGATAGTACACCTCTCTGTGGTTTGTCACAGTGCCTACTCTTCTTCCTTTTTGAATCCCTGGCATGCAGGCTGCATGTCAATTCTGTTTATCACTGCACATGCACTGTTTCTTTTTACTAAAGATAAATATTTATCTTTCGGAAAGGCAGAAGATCAGAATAATGTAGGACATTGAAGGGAAAAAACTGTTCCTTTTTCTCATAACGCTTCTGACACCAAATGTTTGGGACTATTGTCTTCTACACCTGGCCATTCTCCATTTCTCTGTCGATACCAACTAGGTGTCCAGTGATTCAATTCAATTCTGACACTCACTACACAGTTAGTATCAGACCCACAGGTAAAGGGCTTAGTCCCACATGACTACCTGCTACTTTAGATACCAACTGCAAATAGTAGGTCTGTTGGTTATCCACAATTCTGTCTGATTTGTTTGTAAATTGGGGGTTCCTACAATAATTTGTGATAATTTGCTATAATGGCTCGCAAAATTCAGGGAAACACTCTGCTTGCTATTCCTGGTTTATTATTATATAAAGGATATAAATGAACAGCCAATTGAAGAGGCACAGGTCCAGGCTGGTCCCAGGTAGAAGAGCTTCTGTCTGTGGAGTTTGGGTACACCACCCTCTTGGCATGTGGATGCATTCACCAATGCAGAAATTCTCTGAACTTCATCATATAAGATTTTTATGGAGGTTTTATTACATAGGCATGATTGGTTAAATCATTGGCTGTTGGTGATTAAGTCAATCTCCAGTCCTTTCCCCTCTTGAGGTGGGAGAGTGGGGCTACAAGTTCTAATCTTCTAATCATGGACTCCAGCCAACAGTCATCTTAATAGCATACAAAAAGATACTCTTATCACCATGGAGATCCTGTAGTGTAGAAGCATATGCTTTTTCTTTTCATCACAGAGAAGAATCGGTATTCACAACCATATACAACGAAAAGTCACACTTCCAAGAAGAAAGCCAATGTCCCACTTCAGCATCAAATCTAAGACACTGCATTTCGCTTTCTCTGTACCAATGTCATAATTTGTTTGTTAATCTCTTGGTTTTATTTCAAAAACGAAACTATATTTAGAGAGGAAACAAATTCTACCAGCTGCTGTTGGATGCAAAAGATCTTTTTCTTTCTTGAATGGTTTATATTTGGACAGAGAAAGGTACATATTTGAACCATATGTGAATTCAATGTAATGTATTAGCTTTGATTGTGCCAGAGTTCCTAGAGGGCTCCGGAAATCAAAGGATGTGGCTGGTCACCCTAATTTGAATGCCTTTGTTCATAGTAGGAATCCAGAACAGAACGTAGCAACTTCTGTTCCTCATGATTTCATATACTCCATCCATAATCATCTCTCCTAATTCTAGATGCTAGTTTGGTTTACCCTATGGTAGCAAAATCAGTCAGTTTTCATTTTCTCAGGAAGAGAGGAGACTACTGGCAGGAGGAAGAGGAAGGCAGAGTAGAATGATAAAACCATGTGTGTGAAACATGGCTGCTTAGCCCAGTACTAGCAATCGCAATCATTTTGCTCTCTCTCTTCCATGTCTATTAAGTGAGAGTTTGACTTGGTTGATTTCTAAGATCTTTTCTATGTCTGACAGTGAGTAATCTTATCAAATGATTGAATTAGGCCTATGGTTGTGAATACTCTTCAGCTGGCATTTTATACCCTAATGTTAGATACTCAGTTTTTATTGGGGAGCATGAATTTGGGTTATGAGGCAAATAAATAGTTGCTCTTAATGCCTGGAAACAGATTGAAATGCAGTGTTATAGATCTTACAACATTTTCCTACAGAGGTTAAAAATATTCAGAGATTCCTGGATTTTAGTCACATGAAGTTTTGTGCTTATGCCTTTTTCTCAATTTTGCACATATAATCCAAAGAATAAATGAATGACTCTAAATTAATGACTCTAAAAGGTTTCTAGACATAGTACCTTATTGGATCTTGATGTTAACCCTATGATGCACATTAGGCTGAAAAAACTAAGCTAAAGTAGAGAGTTTGGTGATTTTCCAACATCAGTTAACTAGTGATCAGCAGCGTAGGGTCTTAAATCTATGTTTTTTGTCTCTAAATGTCATGTCTTTTGATTTAAGATTTTTGGCCATATAGATTATGAAAAAGAAATGTTAAGTTAAACAGTGGAACCACTCTATTTCTTATTTATAGTTTGAGAAAGATTGACTCTCCTGGAATTTAATTCTCAATGTCTAAATTTAAGATCAAGATTTCTAATAAAGTTTTATTTAAAAAGAAAAGAATCAGTATTCTATTGGTAAAGTATGCATGTTTATTTAAAGTTGAATTCAGTTGCAATTACTGGCACTTTTTGTTTTAGGGAAACATGCAGAATTCTTGGATTACAACAGGTGAAGATTCTGGGGTGGGTGAAACTGCCAAAAGACCATTTTCCCATGACAATGCAGATATTGGCAAAGCTGCATCTGCTGGTGAGCAGCTAGAACTGGTGAGTATTTGGGTGCTTTTCTCTTATACATCTTTTTTCTTTTTCTTTTTTGTACTTTTTTTTATTCTGGTAAAATATATATAACAAAATTTACTATTATAACATTTTAAGTATACAGTTTATCTGTAATAACTACGTTCATAATGTTAATCTTAACATTATCCGTTTTCAGAAGTTTTTGATCATCTCAAACAAAAACTCTGTACCTATTAAATAATATCTCCATTCCCCTCCCTGCCAACCCCTGGTAACCTCTATTCAACTTTCTGTCTTTATAAATTTGCCTATTTCAGATATCTGATATAAGTGGAATTAAACAATACTTGTCTTTTTGTGTCTGGCTTATTTCCCTTAGCATAATATTTTCAAGGTTCTTTTTGTTGTAGCATGTGTCAAAATTTCTTTTCAAGACTGAATAATATTCCATTGTATGTATATTACCAAACTTTATCCATTCATCTATTGACTGACATTGGGGTTGTTTCTTTTGACTGTTATGAATATTTGTGCTGTGAACATTGGCATACAAGTATCTGTTTGAGACCCTGTTTCAATTATTTTAAGGATATACCCAGAAATAGACTTATTGGATCAAATGGTTATTCTTCATTCTTTCTTCTTTCTGCTCCTCAGACTTGATCATTTTAATTGTCATTTCTTAAAGTTCACCAATTCTTTTTTCTGCCTACTCAAATTTGCTCTTTAACACCTTTAGTAGATTTTTTGTTTCAGTTGTTATACTTCTTAGCTCCACAATTTCTGTTTAGTTTCTTTTTATAATGTGTTTTCCTGATTTTCTTTAGTTGTTTGTCCATGTTTGTCTCTTGGCTTTTTGAGTGTATTTAAGACAGTCATTTAAAAGTCTTTCCCAGTAAGTCTGATGTCTGTGGTTTCTCAAGCATAGTTTCTGTCAGCTTATTCCATTCCTTTGAGTGAGCATGTTTTCCTGTTTCCTTGTATTCCTCGTTATTTTGTTGTTGAAAATTGAGCATTTCACTATCATGTGATTACTCTGGAAATCTTTAACTCTTCTTTCCTAGGATTTGCTGTCTTATTTTACTATTGAAGGCTGCAGTAGTCCTTTTGTGTTGAGACTTTTTGAAACTATTTTTGCGAAGACTATTCCATGTCATGTGTGATTATTGAAGTCTGCGTTCTGTTAGCTCATGTTCAGCTAATGTTTGACAGAGATTTCCTTGAATTCCCAGAGCTGAAAACAAATACCCCCCACTCCCCTCCAAAGGTGGAGGCGAGTGGGGGGAGAGAGAGAGAACAGCCCACCTCTCCCAGTGTTTTCAGATTGGCTCTGTGCTGGGACATTCTTTTCCCATTTAACCAGGCTTGCTCTGAGCCTAGGGATCAGCCATAGATGAAAGCTTACGGTCTTCTCAGAATGTTTCTGAGTGTGTATCTTTCCTAGGCATACTGTGACTTTGTAAATTCCCCTGTACACACAGCTGCTTTTGAATGTCCTAATTTCCCAAAGTGTCAAAAACAATTCTATTTTAAGACCAAATAATACTTTTCAATCCTTTGATGTATTTAACAGAACTTTATTCTTCTTTTGGTAACCTGAAGTTTTCTTTGCATTAAATGTGACATGTCAGAGTTGATCAACAATGATAAAAGTGTGAGATTAACACTGTAAATGGAATGTTCCAGGGGAAGATACAGTGAATCATAGTTCAGGTTCTCGTTATCATCCACAGATGTTACTAGTTTTCTAAAGGTTCTTTCTGTCCAGTCGCCCTCCCCTGTCTTAGTCCCTAATCCAAGCTTCATTCTACTTGGGAAAGAGTACCCTTCTTCAAAAAAGAAAATTGGAAAGACTAAGTAAATTGTATCTTTTTTTCCCTCCCTGAGTAATTTACAGTAGCTATTTAATGCCCGTAGGATAAAGACCAATGTCTCAAGTCATCCACAATTTCTGTCAAACTAACGTTCGAGACTAGTTTCACACTCTTCTCCTGTCTTTTGTTTTTTGTTTTTTTTTGAGATGGAGTCTTGCTCTGTCACCCAGGCTGGAGTGCAGTGGTGCCATCTCAGCTCACCACAACCTCCGCCTCCCGGGTTCAAGCAATTCTTCTGCCTTAGCCTCCAAAGTAGCTGGGACTACAGGCGTGCTCCACCATGCCCGGCTAATTTTTGTATTTTTAGGAAAGAGACAGGGTTTCAATATGTTGGCCAGGCTGGTCTTGAACTCCTGACCTCGTAATCCACCCACCTTGACCTCCCAAAGTGCTGGGATTACAGGTGTGAGCCACTGTACCCAGCCTCACTCTTCTCCTGTTACAAATCTTATCTGTAGGCATGCAGACCACTCTCCAGTTGCTACTTCATAAATTTATAATCCACTTTCATTTCTCTTTGAAGAACTGGCTTTGGTTTATGCAGCCCTCCATCCCCAAAATGTTCCCTTCTTACTCTCTACCTATTGAAATGTTTCCAGCCTTCAGGGTGTAGTTGAAATGCCCTCCCACATTCTGCTTTCCCGTGCCTTCTCTCTTCCCTTTTCTGCATTAGAATTCCTTTCTCTTTTATGCCTCCCCCTAGCACTGTGTTTATGATTGTTGGGGACTCATCTATTTTCTCTGTTTGTGACAAAGGTCAATTTCTGCATTTGTGTGCTCTACGTCACAGATGTTTTTCACTTTTTTCAAGGGTTTCATCCTTGCACTTTTCTTTCTCTTGTATCTTTTCCCTCTCAGTGGTTTATTCTTTTTATTTAATTTAGTTTTTTGAGACGGGGTCTAGCTCTGTCATCCAGGCTGGAGTGCAGTGGTGCAATCTCAGCTCACTGCAACCTCCGTCTCCTGGGTTCAAGCAATTCTCCTGCCTCAGCCACCCGAGTAGCTGAGACTACAGTCATGCGCTACCACACCTGGCTAATTTTTGTATTTTTGGTAGAGGTGGGGTTTCGCCATGCTGCCCAATCTAGTCTCAAACTCCCGGCCTCAAGTGATCCACCGTCCTCAGCCTTGCAAACTGCTGGGATTGCAGGTTTGAGCCACCACGCCTGGCCAATGGTTTATTCTTAGCAGAGTACGTTCTTTAATAGCTCCCATAAAGCAAACAAACCCAAAATATATTCTCCTGACCCTACATTCACTTCCAACTATCACCTTTCATCTTTGTTCTCCTTTTCATACCAAAATGTTTCCAAGCAGTTGTCTATGTTTATGTCTCCACGTCTTTCCCTCCCATTCTTGTTTCAGTATGCTTCGGTTGATTTCGCGCCCTATAGTCCACCCCAACTGCTCTTCTTCCAGCTATCAGTTCTCATTGCTGTAAACCTTGTAGCCGCTCTGTGTAACGTGGACATTGGTTGACTATACCCTCCTCCTTTATATTTTCTAATGACACAGTTTAACATAACATTCAGTAAAGTACACAAAACAAAAATTTACAGCTCAATGATTTATCTGTAAATGAACACCTATGTAATTATCACCACTTTATGCTTCTTGCTGGTTACTGCTCCTTCGTGCCTTTAAAGCTAATCACCATCCTGAATTTTCTGAAAAATACCCAAGTATGCATCCTTAAACATTTTAAGTTCTCTTTTTTCAATGTTATGTAAGTGGAATTGTAGAGTCTGTATTCTTTTGTATCTGGCTTCTTCTGTCCACCATTATATTTGTTAGATTCATCCATGTTGTCGCATTGGCTGAACTTTGTTCATTTTCTTTGGTGGGTCTGCTATATGAACATATGACTTTATCCATCCACTGTCAGGGAACATTTGTGTTGTTTCCGGTTTGCAGCTATTGTGAGCAGTGTCGCTATGAACATTCTTTCATCTACTGGTGTGTATTACACAAATTTAGGCTGCATATGTATGTTGGAGTGGAATTTTTGGTCTCAGGATATGTCTGTGTTCAACTTGAGTAGGTAATGACAACCTTCCAAGGGGATTTTATCAGTTTACACTTCTACCAGTAGTATATGGGTGATACATTTGCTCCATGTCCTTACCGACCATATAGTATTGTCGATTTTTCTGGTGAACTTAGCGTGCTGTCTTGTGATTTTCATTTGCATTCCCCTAACTACTAGTGTGATTGAGTATCGTTTCATATATTTATTGTCCATTTGATGCCTCTCTTGTGAGCCACCTATTCAGATATCCTTCTTCTTATTTTTATTGAGGTATGTATCTGACATATTTATTTAGGGAGTTCTTTATATATTCTGGATGCAAGCCCTTTGTCAGTATATGTATTATAAATATCTATTCCCACTCTGTGGCTTCGCTCGTAACTCTCTTGCTTGCTTTGATGGCTAGAACTTCAGTTTGTTTTCCTTGATTATGTAGTTGTTTTCTATGTCCTTTTAAAAAGTTTTTTTTCCAACCACAGTCATGAAGATATTCTCTTACATAATCTTCTGGAAATTACAGTTTCATTTTTTTTTTTTTTAAGACAGAGTCTCACTCTGTTGCCCAGGCTGGAGTGCAGTGATGCGATTTCGGCTCACTGCAACCTTCACCTCCCTGGTTCAGGC